CTTTTTGGAGAAGTGCCTATTTAGATCATTTTCCCATTAAAAAATATTTTTTTCTTTTTTGATTTCAAAGAGAAAAAGGGAGAGGGAGAGAGAGATAGAAACATCAGTGAGAGAGAACATCAATTAGCTGCCTCCTGCATGCCCCCCACAGGGGATTGGGCCCACAACCTGGGCATGTGCCCTGACCAGGAATCAAACTGGCGACCTCTTGGTGAATGAGTCGATGCTCAACCACTGAGCCACACTGGCCAGGCCATTTGCTCATTTTTTAATTGGATTGTTTGTCTTCCTGGTGTTGAGGTGTATAAGTTCTTTGTATATTTCGAAATTAAGCCCTTATCAGGTGTCTCATTGGCAAATATGTTTTCCCATACAATAGGAAACATTTTGTTGATGGTTTCTTTGCCATGCAGAAGTTTTTTAGTTTGATGTAGTCCCATTTGTTAATTTTTTCCTTTGTTTCCCTTGCCCTAGGTGATGTATCGGTGAAAATACTGGTCTGAGATTTTACTGCCTATGTTTTCTTCTAGGATTTTTATGGTTTTTGCAACCTACATTTAAGTCTTTTATGTATTTTGAGTTTATTCTTGTGCATGGTGTAAGTTGGTGCTCTAGTTTCATTTTTTTGCATGTACCTGTCCAATTTTTCCAACACCATTTATTGAATAGACTATCTTTACTCCACTGTATGCTCTTACCTCCTTTGTAACATATTAATTGGCCATATTGTCATGGGTTGAATTCTCGGGTCTCTGTTCTGTTCCATTGGTCTATATACCTGTTTTTGTGCCGGTGCCAGGCTCTTTTGATTACAATGGCTTTGTAGTATAGTTTGATATCTGATATTGTGATCCCTCCAACTTTGTTCCTCTTTCTCAAGATTTTTGTGGCTATTCAGGGTCTTTTCTGATTCCACATAAATTTTTGGAGAATGTGTTCTAGCTCTGTGAAATATGCCATTCATATTTTAGTAGGGATTGAATTGAATCTGTATATTGCTCTGGGTAGTATGGACATTTTAATCATGTTAATTTTCCCAACCTATGAACATGGTAAACACTTCCACTTTTTTATGTCTTCCTCTATTTCTTTTTATAATGTCCTATAGTTTTCTGAGTACAGGTCTTTCACCTCCTTTGTTAAGTTTATTCCTAGGTATCTTAATTTTTTTGTTGCAATGGTAAATTGGGTTGTTTTTCTAATTTCTTTTTCTGAGGTTTCATTATTGGTTTATAAAAATGTCATAGATTTCTGGATGTTAATTTTGTATCCTGCTACTTTGCTGAATTTGTTTATTAAATATAGTAGTTTTTTGGTGGAGTCTTTTTTTTTTTGTATGTGCCCCTAGCAGGAACCAAACCCAGGACTCTCTGATACGCAGGCCAATGCTCCAACCACTGAACCAAACCGGCCAGGGCTTTTGGTGGAGTCTTTAGCATTTTCTATGTACAATATTATGTCATCTGCGAATAATGACAGTTTTACTTCTTCCCTTCCAATTTGGATGGCTTTTATTTCTTCTTCTTGTCTGATCACTGTGGCTAACACTTTCAGTACTACGTTGAACAAAGAGTGTTAAAAGCGGACATTCCTGTCTTGTTCCTGATCTTAAGAGATATACTTTTTGTTTTTGCCCATTGAGTATGATGTTGGCTTTAGGTTTGTTGCATATGTCCTTTTATTTTGTTGAAGTGTGGTACCTCTATTCCCACTTTGCTGAGAGTTTTTATCATAAATGGATGCTGGATTTTGTTGAATGCTTTTTCTGTGTCTACTGATATGGTCATATAATTTTTATCTTTCCTTTTGTTTATGTGGTGTATCACGTTTATTGATTTGTGAATATTGATCCATCCTTGCATCCCTGGAATAAATTCCATCTGGTCATGGTGTAAGATCTTTTTAATGTATTTCTGGATCCTATTTGCTAATATTTTGCTGATGATTTTAGTGTCTATGTTCATCAGGGATATTGGCCTATAATTTTATTTCTTTGTAGTGTCTTTTTCTGGCTTTGGAATTATGATAATGCTGGTCTTGTAAAAGAAGCTTGGAAGTCTTCCCTCCTCTTGAAATTGTTGGAATAGTTTGAGGAGGATTGGTGTTAATTCTTCTTTACATGTATTTTTATAGTACTTTTATTCTCTAATTCACAATAAAATATGTAGAGGAATAGCATCTTGGTTTGGGGTTTTTGATGTCTGGGTTTCCTATGCCCTTGGAAGGTGTGGGGGATGAAGAGGAGGCATTCACAGTCACCAGCTGGAAGAAAGAGAAATGGCCCTTCCAGAAAAGGCAACCCTCAAATAGACTTTTTCCTTTAGTCCAAGTGTAGTGTTGGCCTGTTGAAACCATCCTTGTGAATCTGCCAAGATGATAAAGTAACGGCAGGAGTGGTTTAAAGCAGAGTAGAAAAGGCTCCTTTCCAAAAAGGGGCATTTGGTTCTGGGGCTTAGAATTTGCAAACTGTCAGTGAGGGGGTGGGGCATATATTAGTCATGAATGTGGTAGGCTTGACCCACACATTTATGATTTTTTTTAACCTAGCTGTTAGCAACTTTGAAACAGAAGATTTCATATGAAAATCTTTTTTTAAAAAAATGTTTTTATTGACTTTCTTAGAGAGAGATGAAGGGAGAGAGATAAAGAAAGAGAATCATTGATGTTAGAGAGAAACATCGATCAGCTCCTTCCTGCATACCCCCTGCTGGGGATTGAGCCTGCAACCCCGGCATGTGCCCTGACCTAGAATCAAACCGGTGACCACTGGTGCATGGGACAATGCTCAACTGGCTGAGCCTCACTGGTCAGGACCCATGTGAAAATCATGAATTTTTCTTCTTCCTTTTTTTTCAGGACTGCCCTCTCCCATTCCTCTTGAATGAAAGCTCAGGATCCTGGGACAACACAAGGAGGTGTGCTGGGTAGGGAGGAAACCATAGAAAGGTATTGATATTGGGCATCTCATTGATCTAGAAAAGCTGGCTCAGAAACAGATTTGACTTTATGAAGAAAAAATGTATATATGATCTTTTTTGTACCTTAATTTTGGTGGCAACAACCATTTATGCCTTTTATGGGGTGTTTTACAATTACATTTTTTTCATGGGAGTTAAAAAAAAAAGATTAACAAATAAATGTTTCCAGTCTTCCATTCAGAAAAGTGAGTCTTGTATTTGCTGGTGTATCTTTTCGCTCTCCCTTACTCTTGTTTGTTGCTCCAAGAACAGTTTCAGGAGACAGGAGGAGGGGGGAAATGAAGGAAAGAAGCCAAAATAAGCTTCATAATAAAGGGCAGGGACAGAGGGAGGAAGAGAAAAGGTGGACTGGGTGGGAAGAGGCAACATGACAGGTGAGTCAGCCTGAGGGCCAGGTGGTGAGCAGAACACTACAGAGGACAGAATGGAAAATACAAGGGTCACTTCAGTCATGAAATAAGGAGGAGCCCCTTAGTATTTAAATTTTACTTAACATTTATGACGGACACAAGTTAAAGATTGGAATTGCTTGCTATTTGGCAGTAGGTGAGAGTGAGAATCTGCATTCCTGTTTTGAATCTGATGCCAATACTTAGAAAAACAGGACAATGAGGGTCTGGGACTCGTGCGTTACCCCAGAGTGTGGGAACCAGCAGATGTGGACTCTGTAGAATGAGGGAGAGGACTTTTAATTAAGAGGGAGAGACCTGTGCAGCTTTAGGACTGGGCAGACAATAGAGCAGACCCCAGTGGGACAGACAAGACGTGGGCAGAGTCCTGGATGGAAAGGGAGTCAGCAAGGACCGTGCGGGCAGCGTGAGTGGTCCGTGCTGAAGCGCAAGCTGAGTGCTCTCCCTTCCTTTCTACACTGTTTGCGGGGGGGGGGGGGGGGGGGGGGGGCTCTCCTGTTGTCAAGTCAGATGAAAGCAGGGAAACACTGAGTTCCATTGCTGCTGGCATCACTGAAAGGGCCTCCCTGTTTGAAGGAGAATATTCGGTTAAATCGTTTCCATTTATTTGCCTAACCATGCCTTGCTGCTGACTGGTGGGGGGGCTATTTATCTGGAATATAAATAAGTGTTGATTTTTTTTTTCTTTATTGATTTTAGAGAGAGAGAAAGGGAGAGGGAGAGAGAAAGAGAAACATCGATGAGAGAGAACATTGATTGGCCGCCTCCTGCATGCCCACCATTGGGGATTTGGCCCACAATCTGGGCATGTGCCCTGACTGGGGATTGAACCAGTAACCTCTTGGTGCATGGGTCAGTGCTCAACCACTGAGCCACGCTGTCCAGGCTAATGAGTGTTGATTTTTATGATTGGTGTAATGTTAGTCATGCCACTCTAGGTATTGAAATTCAAATATGTTAAAATTAAACATTTAAATTCAATACATATTTGCACAATGCCCATTTGAATGTTGTCAATGGTACCAATAGTGTTCTTTTTTTTTTTTTCATTTTAAACAAGAAGTGTATTTAAATAACAAGATGCTTGACTTGAAGGAAAACCTATCTAGGATTCATTTCTTTTGGAGTAACTTATCCCTACTTAAAGACAGATTGCCCTACCTGTAACAGCTACGTACAAAAAAGTTATAAAATTGTCCTTGGTTTTACAATGATAAATAAAGAACATTAAAATTCTCCAATCAGACAAGGTATGCAAGGATTTTTATGTTGTTCTTTTTTTTTTGTGAAACAGTGAGAGCAAAATTACTCACTGGAATATAAAGATAAGAGCTGAATGAGCATGTCACTAATAGAGAAAGGGGGTATTTTCACAGAACCAGTATTTTTCCCCATTGCATCTCCATTTGATGTCAATCAAAACATACCATTGGCCATTTAGTTTAAAAAAAAATGCAAATGTTTGTGCACATACGTCAGTTACTTTATGTACAATAAAGGAATGGGGAAGGGGAAAACGAAAGAATAGAGAAAACTATACTGTAGTAGTCAGATGTGTTGAAACCAAATTGCAGTTTTCTAGTTGAGAATGTCTTCTTGGTTTGGAAGAACAGAGTTCTGGAGGAAAGTAGCAGGTTCCCTTTTTAGTAGACACCTCCTGTCTGCTGCTGGAACACATCAATGGTATCTTCATCCTCCATTTCCAACTGTGCAGGTGTGTCTGTGTCATTGATTGGCTGCCTGTCAAATCGGAATCTGATCTGCCTCATCAACAAACCCTGTCGTTCACAATGGGCTTTCATTAGTTTTCTAAGTGGTGTATGCCTCTTAATCTTAAACTGCACCACAGAACCATCCTGCCCCGCCACCTTCAAATTAATATGATTGTTGTTCTCAGTCTTGACTCCTTCCTTGGGCTTTTCATCGGCCATGGCGAGCACCGGAGTCTCCTTAGCTGCTTCTTCACAAAAGAGGTACCAGGTCCGCACCAAATGAGCACACAAGCAGCTCCAGGAGCTGCAGAAGAAGCCTGATAGTGTTCTTCTTTTTTTTTTTTTAATCCTCACCTGAGGACATTTTTTCCATTTTTGGTTCAGATAGAGTGGGAAGGGGAGAGAGAGAGAGAAACATCAACATGAAAGGGACACATCGAATGGCTGCCACCCGCATGACCCAACCAGGGCCGGAGACAAACTGCAAGCGAGGTACGTGCCCTTAGCGGGAACCGAACCTGGGTCTCTCTGGACCGCAGGCCGATGCTCTAACTACTGAGCCAAACCAGCCAGGGCCTAATAGTGTTCTTGATAGCATTTTCCTGTGTCAAGGATCTCATCCAGGATCACATACTGCTCTTGGTTGTCATAGCTTTGTGGTCCCAGTGTATATGGAACAGTTCGTTTGCCTTCTTTTGTCTTTCATGACATTAATATTTGAAAGGTATAAGCCAGTTGTTGCAGACACTCTTCTTCACAGTACATGGTATATACTCTATATACATATAATCTTCTTATAACTGAGAAAGAGACAGACGGAGAGAAAGTTTAGTGCTTGAGCGACCTGTGAAATTCTTCCCCAGTGCTTAATTTTAAAGACGAGAGAACTAGTCTACAAGCTCATTTGAAATTGAAAAGAGTAATTCAGACACTAAGCTTCATCAGGCGGTTGGCACCTGAAGAAAGGTTTGGTGAGGGCTGTAGCTCGTTCAGAAGGAATCAGGAAACTGAAGGCCGGCTGGACGGGGACAGAGAGAACACAGAGTGTCAGGAACCTCACGGACAGGGTCCCTCTCCGAGCAGAGCACGTTTTCCAAAGAGAACCATAGTGACAGCTCTTTCGAGCCCCCCACCCCCATCAAGTCCGAGTCCCTTTTTCTCACTCTTCCCACAGGTGGAATGCAGCGGAGGTGGCTGAGTAGCTTTGAAGCTATGGTAGAAGAGGTCACACAGCTTCTGCCTGGTCCCTTGGAACCCACCATGCTCTGAGGAAGCCCGCGATGCCCGTGGAAAGCATCCAAACATCAGGCCCATAGGCCTGGCCAAGCTCCTTGGCAGCAGCCAGTGCCAACTCTGCAGCCGTGTGAGTGAGAAATCGCGGAGCTTGGTCTTCCGGTCCCCAGTGGAATAGCCCAGAGAACATTGTAGAGGAGACAGCAGCTATTCCTGCTGGGCCCTGCCCGAGCCATAGATTTTTTTTTTTTTTTTATCTTCACCCGAGGACATTTTCCCATTTTTTTGTTCAGGTAGAGTGGGAGGGAGAGAGAGGAACAGAGAGAGAGAGAGAAACATCGATGTGAAAGGAACACATCAAGTGGTTGCCACCCACATGACCGACCAGGGCTGGGGACAAACTGCAACCGAGGTATGTGCCCTTAGCGGGAACCGAACCCGGGTCTCTCAGGACCACAGGTCGACGCTCTAACCGCTGAGCCAAACCGGCCAGGGCTCGAGCCATAGATTTTTGAGGGAAAAAAAGGAAATATTGTAACTTGTACCATCTCTGCATGGTGTGTGGTTTGTTGTCACACAGCTGCGGACAACAGCTGCTGTCTAACCTGCAGGGTTAGGGTTTCAATTCAAGGACACCTCACCTGGAGGGACCCGAGGAGAGGCAGTTAAATGGAGGGCTTGCTACATCCACTGGACCTCACGAGCAAGAAACAGCAGCCACACCCGGCAGGCTCAGCTGGGGAGCTCCGACCGGCGTCCCAGGCTCTTCGTGTGGCCCCCAGCTTTGCGGGCTAGCCCTTGGACCTCCTGCACGCCATCCCAGTCCTTCTTGGTAAAGACCTCGTCTCACCTTTGTCCCGCTGCTCTGGTTTACGGTGACTGTCTTCCACTCCCTGCCTCACCCTGAGGGCTGAACTCCAGGTCATTGAAACTGGGACACTTGAAAATGTGAACCCTCTACAGTATAGTCCCAAAGTCAGCAAAGGCACTGATAGTTACCATGCCTAAGACCAGCCCACTCCATGAGTCCCTGCACTAAGAACCCAAGTCTGGGTGGAGACTGTCTCAGGAAGATAACGACGTCCCAAATTTGGATTAGAATTTTCTCCCATAGGTCGATAGTGGCCCCTTGACAGCCATAGAAAGAGCTTTCGGTCTTTTCTCAAATTTATTAGCAACTCTTTTCTTTTCTCAAGCACATCTAGGGAATATTTGGAATACTTAATTGTAATTGATAAGCTGTAATTAGGGACGGATGTTTTCCCCAGAGTTTAGGGCCGATAGCTACAGAATCTTATTAGAAAATTTAATTAATGTATTTTCACTACATTTTCACTTACTGGGGGTGAGATGGGGGGGCAGAGCAGTGATAAAAGGCTTTTCATAGAAATTTTTAAAAAGTTAGTTAAATTACCATTTTTATAAGCCTCATTACTAAAGAAAAATACTCTTAATGTAGTCTTGTTCAGCTAAATGAGTATAAATGCTTCTCAGCACTACTTCTTCTTCTTCTTCTTTTTAATTGCCCTTCCTCTTCCTAGTTTTAAAACAAATTAAGGCTCAAAAAGAGAGTCCAGCTTCCAATGAAATCAGTTCAGCATGGATTGGGAAAGACAGACTCTTGATTATAAAGGGCAAATGGAGCAAAGATCCCCCTGGCTCAGAGACAGTAGGAACAGCTGATTACGCAAAGAGAGGATCATATTTCACATCATTCTCTCCGCACCGTTTTAGCAGGCATTGCTGTGCTAAAAATCTATCCCCATCAATCTGCCAAAATTCCAGCAATTCTGCAAATCAGGGTTCATTCATTTTCAGGAAACTTTTTGCCTTTAGGATCCACCTGTTAAAATATTACTATTTCCAGGAAAAGTACTATATCAGTTATGATCAGTTATTAAGGTTTTATCTTGGACATTTTGAAATGAAACATTGTTGCCTGGGAAGCTACAGCCGATGTCCTGAGTGAAGGAGGAAGCGGGACAGATACACTTTGATGTGAAAGGAGTTGAGTAGCTTTGCAGGAGAGCTGGTCTTGGGGTGGAACAGAGGCATAAGGTTGGAGTTCAGTCTCCTCATCATTTTCCAGGGTTGGCCCTCGTCTTCAGTAGAACCAGAGTAAACTAGGCTATGATTCCTTAAAAATAATGACTAAATGTAATGAAAGTTTATCCCCTTCCTGTCTTTCCTCTTCATCTGAGAGGTCTCTGCACTTCTTTCCCTGGCAAACACTGAAGTCTTTCTCAAGGAGCAGCTCCTCTGGAAGGCTTCGTGAACCCCAACCCCTAGAGCAATTAGTTACCCCCATCTTCCTTAATCTCAGAATTATGTATATGCCTCCATTATAAATGTATAACCCCTGTTGGGACATGAGCTCCTAGAATTGTGATGGTGCCTAAAGGTTAAGGGATGAAAGAACTGTGACACCTGTAATATCTATGCAATGGGAGATTTCTGTTTCAACTCCAAAGCAACACATATGTCATTTTTTTTTTTTTTTCTGCAAAGGCTCCAGGAACATTCAGAATAGAGATAGAAAGCAGCAGCCGTATGCAAATCAAGAAACTATTCCCAGTTAATGAGTATATATTGGCAAGTTCATGAGTATATATTGGCAAGCATTTTGCCAAGCAGACTTAACAAAGAAAATCTCCTAAGAAATAAAACTAGTGGGGACCTTGCATAGCATCAAAACCTGTACATTTGCAAATCAAAATGTATTTTCTGAAATTGACAACGTGTGCCTTGATACAAAGAACAGTCGTTTAAGGCCAGACCAGTGTGGAGCAGGAATCATTCTCATTAAAATCTCAGTGAGGAGAAACACATCTGGAGCTGAAAAGAACGAATTCATTAATTAGTAATAAGGATGGATTGGAAGTCCATTCACAACCACAGGGACACAGCATTTTATTTATTCTATTTCTATCTATCTCTTTTTTGGTCTGTCATTTAACCATGCTTAAGATACAGGAATGGTAATGACTGTTCTTGTTCATTAATGTGAGTTCATGTATTCTCAATGCTTTGATTAACTTTATAATAATTAGAAATGATCTCAAGATCATTTATCAGAGATGTTCATCTGAATCAATTCGACCTGTCCCAAAATTGCAAACGTAAGCAATATTCCGGTGCTCAGAATGGGTCCACCAGATAAGCATTTTTTCCTATAGAAATTTCCCTTAACGAGGTATAATTCTGAGTGTGCTATATATCTTCCCAGCACCCATTTCCCCTAGTTTTGTATTCTTAGTTACTAGTACAATAACTGACATGTAGCAGGCATTCCATAAATATTTGTTCTATAAATATGTGAAAATAAAAGGGTTTTCACTTTCATTTTCTCTTTTCAGCTAAATCCCTAAAGCAAATTTGTTGAATGCTTGGATGGTGGGTATACAATCTATATCACTGACTTCCAGTCAATAAAACTGCATTTTGCTTGTGTCTTCACATCATTATACTGAATAGCTGATGTGAATGCTCTCTTTTTTTAAACAATAAATGAGGTTTCCATAATATTTTTAATGTATTTTTTCAGGGCAGAAAAAACTTTTCCAAACCTAAATCAGATGGATTTGGGAGGCAGTCTCTGAACTAGAATCTGAACGGGGCTCTTAGTGTCAGATTTTAGTTAGGCTGCTTTAAGCCTAAAGTACTACCTTTCTTCATGTCTTCCCCTAAAAATAGAAAAGTAGATATTTCCTTTTCTGATAAAGAGATGCCAAAGTCATAATTGCTACTTGAAACAGGAAACACATTAGAAAAATTACTTTAATTAATACTTGGCACGTATGCCTGGTTACACATATTTTTCGATTAAAGTATTTGGAACTAGACTGAATGTCAACAAAATCAGCTGTCACCACTCGTATTGGATATGTCAAGGTAAAATTGTGACTCTGAGATCAAGGAAAAACAATGAATAGTGACAGTAAAAAAATACTTTAATTGGTAAATTGAGTTATACACAGAAACCTTTT